GAGAGACAACTTTCTAAACACATCAGAGCTTTAGAGACATTATTGAATAAACAGCATATACACTACTCACGCACACACACACAGACATATATATATATTTATTTATAAATATACATTTCTCCGGTGCGACTATGGCAAATCTGCAGACAGACAGGTTAATCCCAGCAGAACCGTCTGGACGCTGAGGCCTGGAGAGATATTGATATATAGAGTGAGAGATATGCGTATGTAATCTATTACTCTGAAATAAGAATATTTAAATAAACTGAACCAAGTTTGTTAAAAAAAAAAAAAACTTCTGTTCCTGCTCAACACGTCACTGAGATGGCGTTACGTTAGTAGATCAGCGCCCAGAGGCGAAGTAGGGTCTACTCTTATATGTAGGTATGTGGGCCTTCTAGAGGTTAGAGCTAGAGCTAGTCCTTCTGGAATGTAGAACTAGGGTTAGTCCTTCTGGAAGTTAGAGCTAGAGCTAGCTATTCTATAATGTAGAACTAGGGTTAGTCCTTCTGGAATGTAGAACTAGAGCTAGCTATTCTATAATGTAGAACTAGGGTTAGTCCTTCTGGAATGTAGAACTAGAGCTAGTTCTTCTGGAGTGTAGAACTAGAGCTAACCCTTCTATAATGTAGAATTAGAGCTAGTTTTTCTGGAATGTAGAACTAGGGTTAGTCCTTCTGGAATGTAGAACTAGACCTAGCTCTTCTATAATGTAGAGCTAGAGCTAACCCTTCTGAAATGTAGAACTAGAGCTAGTTATTCTGGAATGTAGAACTAGAGCTAGTCCTTCTGGAATGTAGAACTAGAGCTAGTCCTTCTGGAATGTAGAACTAGGGTTAGTCCTTCTGGAAGTTAGAGCTAGAGCTAGCTATTCTATAATGTAGAACTAGGGTTAGTCCTTCTGGAATGTAGAACTAGAGCTAGCTATTCTATAATGTAGAACTAGGGTTAGTCCTTCTGGAATGTAGAACTAGAGCTAGTTCTTCTGGAGTGTAGAACTAGAGCTAACCCTTCTATAATGTAGAATTAGAGCTAGTTTTTCTGGAATGTAGAACTAGGGTTAGTCCTTCTGGAATGTAGAACTAGACCTAGCTCTTCTATAATGTAGAGCTAGAGCTAACCCTTCTGAAATGTAGAACTAGAGCTAGTTATTCTGGAATGTAGAACTAGAGCTAGTCCTTCTGGAATGTAGAACTAGAGCTAGTCCTTCTGGAATGTAGAACTAGGGTTAGTCCTTCTGGAAGTTAGAGCTAGAGCTAGCTATTCTATAATGTAGAACTAGGGTTAGTCCTTCTGGAATGTAGAACTAGAGCTAGCTATTCTATAATGTAGAACTAGGGTTAGTCCTTCTGGAATGTAGAACTAGAGCTAGTTCTTCTGGAGTGTAGAACTAGAGCTAACCCTTCTATAATGTAGAATTAGAGCTAGTTTTTCTGGAATGTAGAACTAGGGTTAGTCCTTCTGGAATGTAGAACTAGACCTAGCTCTTCTATAATGTAGAGCTAGAGCTAACCCTTCTGAAATGTAGAACTAGAGCTAGTTTTTCTGGAATGTAGGACTAGAGCTAGGCCTTCTATAATGTAGAATTAGAGCTAACCCTTATAAAATGTAGAACTAGAACTAGCAATACTATAATATAGAGCTAGAGCTAACCCTTCTGGAATGTAGAACTAGAGCTAACTCTTCTATAATGTAGAGCTAGAGCTAACCCTTCTGAAATGTAGAACTAGGGCTAGTCCTTCTAGAATGTAGAACTACAGCCATTCCTTCTATAATGTAGAACTAGGGCTAGCCCGTCAAAATATAGACCTAGAGTCAGTCCTTCCAGAATTTAGAAATAAAGCCACTATTTCTAGAATGTAGAACTAGAACTAGTCCTTCTAGAATGTAGAACTAGCCTTTCTAGAATGCAGATAGTCCTTCTAGAATGTAAAACTACAGCTAGCCCTTCTTGAATGTAGAACTAAAGCTAGTCATTCTAGAATATAAACCTAGAGCTAGCCCTTTTATTATGTAGAATTAGAACTAACCCTTCTAGAATGTAGAACTAAAGCTAGTCCTTCTAGAATGTAAAACTAGAGCTAGCCCTTTTATAATGTAGAATTAGAGCTAACCCTTCTAGAATGTAGAACTAGAGCTGGTCCTTCTCGAATATAGAACTAGGGTTAGTCCTTCTGGAAGTTAGAGCTAGAGCTAGCTATTCTATAATGTAGAACTAGGGTTAGTCCTTCTGGAATGTAGAACTAGAGCTAGCTATTCTATAATGTAGAACTAGGGTTAGTCCTTCTGGAATGTAGAACTAGAGCTAGTTCTTCTGGAGTGTAGAACTAGAGCTAACCCTTCTATAATGTAGAATTAGAGCTAGTTTTTCTGGAATGTAGAACTAGGGTTAGTCCTTCTGGAATGTAGAACTAGACCTAGCTCTTCCATAATGTAGAGCTAGAGCTAACCCTTCTGAAATGTAGAACTAGAGCTAGTTATTCTGGAATGTAGAACTAGAGCTAGTCCTTCTGGAATGTAGAACTAGAGCTAGTCCTTCTATAATGTAGAACTAGGGTTAGTCCTTCTGGAAGTTAGAGCTAGAGCTAGCTATTCTATAATGTAGAACTAGGGTTAGTCCTTCTGGAATGTAGAACTAGAGCTAGCTATTCTATAATGTAGAACTAGGGTTAGTCCTTCTGGAATGTAGAACTAGAGCTAGTTCTTCTGGAGTGTAGAACTAGAGCTAACCCTTCTATAATGTAGAATTAGAGCTAGTTTTTCTGGAATGTAGAACTAGGGTTAGTCCTTCTGGAATGTAGAACTAGACCTAGCTCTTCTATAATGTAGAGCTAGAGCTAACCCTTCTGAAATGTAGAACTAGAGCTAGTTTTTCTGGAATGTAGGACTAGAGCTAGGCCTTCTATAATGTAGAATTAGAGCTAACCCTTATAAAATGTAGAACTAGAACTAGCAATACTATAATATAGAGCTAGAGCTAACCCTTCTGGAATGTAGAACTAGAGCTAACTCTTCTATAATGTAGAGCTAGAGCTAACCCTTCTGAAATGTAGAACTAGGGCTAGTCCTTCTAGAATGTAGAACTACAGCCATTCCTTCTATAATGTAGAACTAGGGCTAGCCCGTCAAAATATAGACCTAGAGTCAGTCCTTCCAGAATTTAGAAATAAAGCCACTATTTCTAGAATGTAGAACTAGAACTAGTCCTTCTAGAATGTAAAACTACAGCTAGCCCTTCTTGAATGTAGAACTAAAGCTAGTCATTCTAGAATATAAACCTAGAGCTAGCCCTTTTATTATGTAGAATTAGAACTAACCCTTCTAGAATGTAGAACTAAAGCTAGTCCTTCTAGAATGTAAAACTAGAGCTAGCCCTTTTATAATGTAGAATTAGAGCTAACCCTTCTAGAATGTAGAACTAGAGCTGGTCCTTCTCGAATATAGAACTAGAGCTGGTCCGTCTAAAATGTAGAACCAGAGCTAGTTCTTCTAGAATGTAGAACTATCCTTCTAGAATGTAAACCTAGAGCTAGCCCTTTTATAATGTAGAATTAGAGCTAGCCCTTTTATAATGTAGAATTAGAGCTAACCCTTCTAGAATGTAGAACTAGAGCTGGTCCTTCTCGAATATAGAACTAGAGCTGGTCCGTCTAAAATGTAGAACCAGAGCTAGTTCTTCTAGAATGTAGAACTATCCTTCTAGAATGTAAACCTAGAGCTAGCCCTTTTATAATGTAGAATTAGAGCTAACCCTTCTATAATGTAGGACTAGAGCTAACCCTTCTGGAATGTAGAACTAGAGCCATTCCTTCTAGAATGTAGAACTAGAGCTAGTCCTTCTGGAAAGTAGAACTACAACTAGTTCTTCTGGAGTGTAGAACTAGAGCTAGCCCTTCTATAATGTAGAATTAGAGCTAGTTTCTTCTGGAATGTAGAACTAGGGCTAGTCTTTCTGGAATGTAGAATTAGAGCTAGTCCATCTAGAATGTAGAACTACAGCCATTCCTTCTAGAACATAGAACTAGGGCTAGCCTGTCAAAATGTAGACCTAGAGTCAGTCCTTCTAGAATGTGAAACTAGAGCTAGCCCTTCTAGAATGTAGAAGTAGCCACTCCTTTTATATTGTAGAACTAGAGCTAGCTCTTCTAGAATGTAAAACTAGCCACTCCTTTTATATTGTAGAACTAGAGCTACCACTTCTAGAATGTAGAACTAGTCCTTCTTGAATATAGAACTCCAGCTAGTTTTTCTATAATTTAGAACTAGAGCCAGTCCCTCTATAATGTAGAAATAGAGCTACTCCTTTTAGAATGTAGAATTAATCCCTCTAGAATGTAATAAGAGCCCTTCTAGAATTTAGAACTTGAAATACTCCTTTTAGAACATAGATCTAGAGCCAGTCCTTCTAGAATGTAGACATAGAGCTACCCCTGCTAGAATGTAGAACTAGCCATCCTAGAATGTAGAACTAGTCCCTCTAGAATGTTGTCCTAGTCCTTCTAGAATTTAGAAGTCAGTCTTTCTATAATGTAGAAATGGAGCTACTCCTTTTAGAATGTAGAACTAGTCCCTCTAGAATGTTGTCCTAGTCCTTCTAGAATTTAGAAGTCAGTCTTTCTAAAATGTATAAATGGAGCTACTCCTTTTAGAATGTAGAACTAGTCCTTCTAGACTCTAGAAATACAGCTAGTTTTTCTATAATTTAGAACTAGAGCCAGTCCCTCTACAATGTAGAAATAAAGCTACTCCTTTTAGAATGTAGAACTGGGGCCAGCCCTTATAGAATGTAGAAGTAGAGCTAGTATTTCTAGAATGTAGAACTAGTTTTCTGGACATAGAACTAGAATCAGACCTTCTAGAATATAATTGCAGTGATTGAACCCAGTCTCAACCTCTTACTAACTTCCTCTGCATGTTTCCCTGCCCATTCTGAGTTGTTTGGATCTATGATGAGGCAACTAATGTGAGAGAAGCTGAGGGGTGTGAATACTTTTGGAAGATAGTGTAGACATGTTGGTGTGTTTATTATTCAGGGGGAACAGCCATCATCATCATCAGGCAACATTTAAGTTTGGATCAGGTTCTTCAGAAACACATCGAGGAACGTCTGCACCACATGCACACATTACACAGAACTAGAGCAGTCAGATGTTACAGCGGCTCGAGGGGGGAGGGGGTCATCAGAGTCTGAAAAACGTAAACTGAGAAAGGGCGAGCAGAACCAGCAGCAGATAGTGTCCTAGAAGGTCCGGCAGTGGTCAGGCGGAGGAATGCAGCGCCCCCTGCTGCTCGCGCTCCTCTTCATCCATCTTGCGTCCGTGTTTCCTGAAGTATTTGTAGCGCTGAACGTACAGCTTGACCAGGTTGCTTACTTTGACCGGGTTGATTTCTCCGGTGCGACTATGGCAGATCTGCAAAGAGACAGAAGGTTAATCCCCACAGAAGCGCAGCAGGACCGTCTGGACGGCGAGGCGGACGATCTGTACGGCGAGGCGGACCTTATGCACGGCCTTCCTCAGGATGTCTTTGTACTCGTCCTTGTTGATGTCTTTGCGCTGGTAGTAGGGCTTGATGGCCAGCTTCACCTCCTCCACGGCTCGCTCCTGGGTGTGCAGCTTCTTCAGGTACTGTCAGAACCAAGGAGACGTGTTACCATGGAAACCACTGCAGTCTGGTTCCAGACAGCAGAACTTTACATCCCTCCACCTGTAACCCATTCATTGGTTCCGTTCCTCAAAAGGCTCCAATAAAAACAGACATGCAGAGAATATTTTCTCTGAACCTGCTGAGAAACCATCAGCCAGGTCACAGAGACCCAGCCAGCCCCGGAACCAGCCAGGAACTTTGGACCCACACAGAGAACCAACTTCTCAAACTCTTAAAGATCTCTTGACTTTAGAGTGACGACCAATCAGAGAGCAGCTCTGTGGTAACAGTTAGAGCGCTGACCAATCAGAGGTCCATCAGAACATCCATCGCTGCTGAACCGAGTTTCTACGACCAAACCAGACGTTTCCAGAACAGCCAGAGGTGAGCAGAAGTTCTGCCCTGACCTCTGACCCCTCTATCACCACTACTTTTCACTCCCTGTTGGTCACGTGACCCCGGCTCCTCTCACTGCGCCATCTTTGCTCTTTCTTGGCTCCAAAACCAATCCCATGATGCTTTGTGAGGAGAGCAAAGCCTTCTAGGTTATATCTGCTCGTCTAGTGACCATGGATGAACACAGCTTCTCCAGTTGCATTGTGGGAAACTTCAAGTCCTGTACTTCTTCATCCATTAGACCAAGGGTCACTGATGTGGTGCCAAGCGGCACCAAGGGGCCCTTAGGGGCCACAGAAAGGAACCCACAATGTCTTCTGAAAACAGCACAACTCACCAGTAGTGAGTTTTAATCATTTTGTTTCTGGAGCTTTTCATCTCTTCAATCATACCGAGTATTAATCACTTCTAGAGCATTTTATCTTTAATTAAACTGAGCATTAATCACTTCTAGAGCATTTTGTCTCTTTAATCATAGCGAGTATTAGTCAATTTATCGTTGTTGGCGAGGTCATGTGACCTGGAAGAACCTATGATTACAGGCTCTTATATCTTCATGGCGCTAAGGCTCTAGCTCTATTATTTTACCCCCTGATCCACTACCGGTCACGGCTTTCTACCTACCGGTCACGGCTGTCTACCTACTGGTCACGGCTGTCCACTGGTCACGGCTGGCCACTGGTCACGGCTTTCTACCTACCGGTCACGGCTGTCCACTAGTCACGGCTTTCTACCTACCGGTCACGGCTGGCCACTGGTCACGGCTTTCTACCTACCGGTCACGGCTGGCCACTAGTCACGGCTTTCTACCTACCGGTCACGGCTGGCCACTGGTCACGGCTTTCTACCTACCGGTCACGGCTGTCCACTGGTCACGGCTTTCTACCTACCGGTCACGGCTGGCCACTAGTCACGGCTGTCTACCTACCGGTCACGGCTGTCTACCTACCGGTCACGGCTGGCCACTGGTCACGGCTGTCTACCTACCGGTCACGGCTGGCCACTAGTCACGGCTGTCTACCTACCGGTCACGGCTGGCCACTGGTCACGGCTGTCTACCTACCGGTCATGGCTGTCTACCTACCGGTCACAGCTGGCCACTGGTCACGGCTGTCTACCTACCGGTCACGGCTGTCTACCTACCGGTCACGGCTGGCCACTGGTCACGGCTGTCCACTAGTCACGGCCTTCTACCTACCGGTCACGGCTGGCCACTGGTCACGGCTTTCTACCTACCGGTCACGGCTGTCCACTGGTCACGGCTTTCTACCTACCGGTCACGGCTGGCCACTAGTCACGGCTGTCTACCTACCGGTCACGGCTGTCTACCTACCGGTCACGGCTGGCCACTGGTCACGGCTGTCTACCTACCGGTCACGGCTGGCCACTAGTCACGGCTGTCTACCTACCGGTCACGGCTGGCCACTGGTCACGGCTGTCTACCTACCGGTCATGGCTGTCTACCTACCGGTCACAGCTGGCCACTGGTCACGGCTGTCTACCTACCGGTCACGGCTGTCTACCTACCGGTCACGGCTGGCCACTGGTCACGGCTGGCCACTGGTCACGGCTGTCTACCTACCGGTCACGGCTGGCCACTGGTCACGGCTGTCTACCTACCGGTCACGGCTGTCTACCTACCGGTCACGGCTGGCCACTGGTCACGGCTGTCTACCTACCGGTCATGGCTGTCTACCTACCGGTCACAGCTGGCCACTGGTCACGGCTGTCTACCTACCGGTCACAGCTGGCCACTGGTCACGGCTGTCTACCTACCGGTCACGGCTGGCCACTGGTCACGGCTGTCTACCTACCGGTCGCGGCTGTCTACCTACCGGTCACGGCTGTCTACCTACCGGTCACGGCTGGCCACTGGTCACGGCTGTCTACCTACCGGTCACGGCTGTCTACCTACCGGTCACGGCTGGCCACTGGTCAAGGCTGTCTACCTACCGGTCACGGCTGGCCACTAGTCACGGCTGTCTACCTACCGGTCACGGCTGGCCACTGGTCAAGGCTGTCTACCTACCGGTCACGGCTGGCCACTGGTCACGGCTGTCTACCTACCGGTCACGGCTGTCCACTGGTAACCCTAACCTACCCCAATGGTGCTCTCCAGAATGCATCAGCGTTTCTCTTGCCCTGAACCTAGACTAGCTTTTGCCACTAGGGGCACTAGACGTAAAAGCTCGAGTGGCCAAAAGTTGCACGGTGTGCCTCTAAGTCTCTTCATGGGCCTTGGCTGCGTCCTCAGAAGGCCAGATTCGAAGGACGATTACGTCATAGCGAGGCAACGAGGTCTGGTCGGATTCCAAGAGTCCTTGTTATGCGGCCTTAAAATGCGTCCTTCTTTTTGCCCGATTTGAAGGACGGGTTTGATGTATCCTCGCTATCCTTGGTTTACCCAGGATTCATTGCGAGACCAAGCAAGCCGGCTGCTCCGTGATCAGAGGAAAGGTTACTTGGCGTCGAACAGTGGTGAAAATTGGAAGTTCAGTTTAATATAATCCAGTCTGTGAATAGTTCCGTCTGAAATGGATGAAAATAGTTGTTTTAATGGTTATTGCGTCAGATATGTGGCGGTAATGTTTGGTTTATTGTAAGGTTTTTATCTGTTACTGTGTAAATGGGGAAGAGTTAAAATATGAACAATAAAATACTGTTAAGTGTTTTAACAACATTTGCTTTTATTGGTTCCTGCTCCCAGTGGCTGGCTCCTTTATTCCACTCTGGATTCTTGTGATTGTAGTCTTTGTTCACTTTATAATAAAAAAAATAAACAGTTTTTCCCTAATACATCCCCACTGTGTGACAAATGCCATATCGAAGAAGCCACACTTCTTCATTCTTATTGTTTGTGTACAAAATTAACCCCATTTTGGTCTGGCATATTCAAAACCTTATCAGATATGCTTAGAATCGAGTTGAGGCTGGACCCATTTCTGATTGTGCTCGGAGTTTCTGTTCAGTTTTCTCAACTTAATAAATACCAACGACAGCTATTATCTTATGCCTTTATCATAGGGAAAAAGCTAGTGTTGATTTTCTGGAAAAAATCAGAGGTTCCACTGGTTAAATTATGGCTGGAGGAACTGGTAAGGCTCTCTGATCTGGAAAGAATACGGTTCTCGTTAGCAAATAACTTAAAGCGATTCAACAGAACCTGGCAACCCCTTCAGCAATATATTAATAACTCTATTTGAAGAGAATTTGCTTTGATTCTCTGTGTGATAAGATGTTAGTCCCAGAGAGGGGGGGTGGGGGGGAATGTTCTTGTTTAATTATGTCACTTTTGTTTGGTTTTGATTTTGGATTGTCTTTACGTTTTTTTTTTTGTTTGTTCACATAAAAAATAGGACAAATGTGTATTGTTGATGTTTCAATTTTCATGTATGATTCCTCAATAAAAACTGTTTAACATGTTGTCGGAAAAAAAAAAAAAAAATAAAAAATAAATAAATAAATAAACAGTTTTGAAAACTTCGATTTCCTTCTTTTCCTGCTTTGTGTGTCAACTGTCACAGTTGCCAAGCAACATAGCCTCCGGCGGTAAAACCCATCGAAGGGTAGACCTGTTTGAATTCACAGCCTAAACTCTTCCGGTCTCCTTATTTTCAGGGACTTGGAGGATCCAGTCTATGTAGACCGCGTCTTTGGAGGACGCAGTCCATGAATTCAAACAGAGCCTTACTCTTGCTCTGTTCAGTCAAGTCACCTGATCAGCTGCTTCTCAAAGGCCTGAAACCAAACAGAAGCTCACAGCGTATCTAGATTTTCTACCTCCCTGTTCTTCCTTTTCTTTATAGTGAGATCACCTGACTGATCCAAACCAATGGCTGACTTTATGTTGCCATGACGACTAACGCTGGTTCACACCGTCCACGGCTAGAGCGGTGGGTTTACATGTTAACCCTCAGCTAACAGAGAGCGGAGCTTTAGCGACTCCCCCCTCCCTCCACTTCCACAGATAGAATTATGACAGCTAGATAGTAATCAGCAGGAGGAGCTATGGTTCCGCTTCAGCCATACCTTATCTGAATCTTTGCTCTCGTTCTCCCATCCCGGTTCCGCGGCACCCCCCCCAGGAAGCATGGGTGGCGGGGTCTGAGCACATCCCCCTCCTAGAGACGGGTGCAGGTGAGGTGGAGGGGTCTTGGTGCAGCCCACCAATGGCAGAGAGCTGTGGAGGATGAACTGGGCGGGGCTGAGACCGGGAGGAGGAGGGGCAGAGGGAGGAGGGGGGATCAGGGTGGATGAGGAAGAGGAGGAGGAGGAGGAGGGAGCGTGATGCTGGTTCTGGTTGGCCTGGGACAGGATCTGGACACCAGAAACATAGAAAGGAGGGTTACTGCAGAACCACGGCCTGGTTCTGATGATGTCACGGCCAACAGAACCATCTGGTCTGATTGGTCTGGATCTATGTACTCTCCAGGTTCTAGATGTTCTCCTGGTTCTCTGTGTTCTAGTTCCCTGTGCCCTAGTTCTCTGTGCCCTAGTTTACTGAGTTCCAGTTCCCTATGTTCTAGTTCCCTGTGTTCTAGTTCCCTGCGTCCTAGTTCCCTGTGCCCTAGTTCTCTGTGCCCTAGTTTACTGAGTTCCAGTTCCCTATGTTCCAGTTCCCTATGTTCTAGTTCCCTGTGTTCTAGTTCCCTGTGCCCTAGTTCTCTGTGCCCTAGTTTACTGAGTTCCAGTTCCCTATGTTCTAGTTCCCTGTGTTCTAGTTCCCTGTGTCCTAGTTCACTGAGTTCTAGTTCCCTGTGTCCTAGTTTACTGTGTCCTAGTTACCCTGTGTCCTAGTTCACTGAGTTCTAGTTCCCTGTGTCCTAGTTTACTGTGTCCTAGTTACCCTGTGTCCTAGTTCACTGAGTTCTAGTTCCCTGTGTCCTAGTTTACTGTGTCCTAGTTACCCTGTGTCCTAGTTCACTGAGTTCTAGTTCCCTGTGTCCTAGTTTACTGTGTCCTAGTTACCCTGTGTCCTAGTTCACTGAGTTCTAGTTCCCCGTGTCCATGTTCCCTGTGTTCTAGTTCCATGTGTCCTAGTTCCCCGAGTTCTAGTTCCCCGTGTCCTAGTTCCCTGTGTTCTAGTTCCCCGTGTCCATGTTCCGTGCTCTAGTTCCCCGTGTCCTAGTTCCCTGAGTCATAGTTTACTGAGTTCTAGATCCCTGTGTCCTAGTTCCTTATGTTCTAGTTCCCTGTGTCCTAGTTTACTGATTTCCAGTTTCCTGTGTCCTAGCTCCCTGTGTCCTAGTTCCCCGTGTTCCAGTTCCCTATGTCTTAGTTCCCTGTGTCCTCGATCCCTATGTTCTAGTTACCTCTGTTCCAGTTCCCTATGTCTTAGTTCCCTGTGTCCTCGATCCCTATGTTCTAGTTCCCTGTGTTCTAGTTCCCTGTGCCCTAGTTCTCTGTGCCCTAGTTTACTGAGTTCCAGTTCCCTATGTTCTAGTTCACTGAGTTCTAGTTCCATGTGTCCTAGTTCACTGAGTTCTAGTTCCCTGTGTCCTAGTTTACTGTGTCCTAGTTACCCTGTGTCCTAGTTCACTGAGTTCTAGTTCCCTGTGTCCTAGTTTACTGTGTCCTAGTTACCCTGTGTCCTAGTTCACTGAGTTCTAGTTCCCTGTGTCCTAGTTACCTGTGTCCTAGTTACCTGTGTCCTAGTTACCTGAGTTCTAGTTCATTGTGTCCCAGTTCCCTGTGTTCTAGTTCTGTGTCCTAGTTCCCTCTGAGTTCTAGTTCCCTGTGTCCTAGTTCCCTGTGTTCTAGTTCCCCGTGTCCATGTTCCGTGCTCTAGTTCCCCGTGTCCTAGTTCCCTGAGTCATAGTTTACTGAGTTCTAGATCCCTGTGTCCTAGTTCCTTATGTTCTAGTTCCCTGTGCCCTATTTTCCCGATTTCCAGTTTCCTGGGGCCTAGCTCCCGTGCCCCTAGTTCCCCGGTTTCCATTCCCTATGTCTTATTTCCCTGTGTCCCCCCGACCCTTTTTCCCAATTAAACCCTTTTCTGGGGTTCCCTGTCCCCCGTTCCCTGTTTTTTTTACTGTGTTCTTTTCTTTTTGGGTCCTTTGGGGTCCTATTTACCTGAGTTCAGTTCATTTGTGCCCCTTTTCCCCCTTGGGGCCTATTTCCCCCTGTTCAATTTTCCCTTTAATTTTTAATTTCCCCTTGCCCTTTCGTTCCCTTTTTCATTTCCCGTGCCCCTATTCCCCTTTCTATTTCCTTTGTCCTTATTTTCCCCCTTTTTGGCCTCTTTCCCCTTTTTCTGGGTTCCCATGTTCCCAAAATTTCCCTTTGGGGCCACGCTTTTCTATTTTCTGTGTCCAATTTTCCCTTTTCCGGGTTCCCTGGTCCTATTTCCTGTGCCTATTTAACTTTTCTATTACCTGATTTCCCCATTTTCATTTGTCCCGGGTTCCCTTTTTTCTGTTCGTGTCCTATTTCCCCTCTGATTTTTCTAGTTCCCCTTTTTCCCTATTCCCTGATTTTCTATTTCCCCCTGATTCCATTCCCCCGGGTCTTATTTTCCTTGTGTTGGGTTTCTGCGTCCTATTTTTCTAAAATTCCTTTTTCCCAAATTTTCCCTAGTTTTCCTTTTTTTAATTCCCCGGGGGTACCTCGTTCCCTAGGGTTCAAATTCCCTTTTCCTTTTCCCCAAATTTCTACCCCCGGGTTGCCCATTTTCCCTATTCTATTTTCCCTTTTCCCCTATTCACTGATTTTCTAGTCCCGTGCCCCAAATTTCCCCAGTTCTATTCCCTGTGTCCCTTTTTCCCACTGAGTTCAGTCCCCTGTGTCCAAAGGCCCCCGATTTCTTTTTTCCCGGGGTTCCTAGTTCACTGAGTTCAGCACGGTCCTAGTTCCCCCCCTGATTTTCCTAACCCCATACGTTTTTTATTTTCCCTGTGTCCCTTTCCCCTTTTTCCATTCACTGTTTTTTATTTCCCCTGTGCCCCCCCCGGTTCCCTTTTTTCATTTTTCGTTCCTGGGTCCCTGTCATTTCCCCTTGCCTAGTTCCCTCAGTTCAAATTCCTGTCCTAGGCCCCAATTTTTAAGTTCCCTTTCCTATTTCCCTATTTCTATTTCCCCTTTGTTCTAGTTCCCGGGGCCCAGTTCCCTATTTAAATGGGGCCCTTTGGGGTCCAGTTCCCTGTGTTTTTTAGTTCCTGTTTTCTTTTCCTGCTTTTTTTGGGCAGAGTTCTGTTTATTTTTTAATCCCCAAAGGTTGATTTTGTTTTCTAGGTTTGGGGGGGCACATCAAATTTGGAAACATCTAAAACCCACCCTTTCCTGCTGAAACTGGTTTTTTTCTGGGTTTTTCTCACCGACTGGGGGCCGGGTTTAACCCCGGGCCCGGCCCGGGCTCATTTTTGGCGTCCTCCCATCTTGAAGACAAAGCCGTCACGGATAAGAGAACAGCCACTGGTAAGCTCGGGTTCCCGGGAGCAACCCCCAAAAAAAAAGGGGGGTTCGGCCTGATGACCCATTGCTACGCCCCGACCTTCACCAAGCAGAGACCAGCTTCTAAGCAGTCGGATCTAGATCAGCTCTGCTTTAACACACCTGAATCACATATCCACTGAGGTCATCAGTGAGGTCATCAGTGAGGTCATCATTTTGATTCTGGTGTATTGGATCCCCCCCCAGGCTTTGACACCCACCCTGTGCCACCATGAGAAGAACTTACATGCCAGAACTCCTCCGGTGGTGCAGTCCACTCCGGTCTGAAGGCTCCAGGGCAGAGTCGGGACTGCTGGCGGCGGCGGCGGCGGCAGCAGCTTGGCGGCGGATGAGGAGGACACCGAGGAGGAGGGGTCCGTTGAAGAGAGAGAGTGAGGGAGGGAGGTGAGGCCTGCTGACGAAGAGGAGCAGGGAGGCGAAGCTGCAGACTTGGACTCCTCTGAAGGAGGCTTGATGGTCTGAGCTCCCTGGGGGGCGGACAGACCGGACGGACTGGACGACGGGGGGGAAGGACTGGTCTGGTGGGGGCAGTCCTCGGCAGTGAAGGCAGCCTCTGGAGTCTTACAGCTGCTGTCCACCGTCTGGGAGTCGGGCGATGACTCTCTGGCGTCCCGTAGAGGGGCGCTAGAAGGAGGCGGCGTGTGAGGTGGAGAGGAGGAGGGGGGGAGGACGCTGGTGGAGGAGGACGTAGAAGACGAGGAGAAGGAGGAGGAGCAGGGGGGAGGGCCGGTTTGAGCCGTAGAGGGACTGACCTCCTTGCCCCCGTCTCCGCCGGCGGGCGGAGTGTCGAAGGTGGCTCCGCCCCAGCCTTCTGAGGCGGCTTTGGATTGGTTGCCATCACAGGCAGGCGGGGCGGCCGCTCCACCCTTCTTACCGGTTTTCTTGGCCAGGCGGCGCCGGCGCTTAGTTGCCAGAGACGAAGAGGGGGAGGATGCGGAGGAGGAGGTGGATGTGATGGAGCTGGGCTTCGTCTTCTTGGCCTTCAGCCCTGCGGATCCGGCCAAGGAGGACGGCGGCGGCGGCGGCCGCGCTGCCAGGCCGCTCCGCTTCCCTAACGACAGCGGCTCGGAGCACGGCTTCAGGAACGGAGAGCGGCTCTCGTTGTCTCTACAAAAGACCACGGCTATGGAGCCCCCCACCACCGGGCCCCCTGCTGCTCCTCCTGCCCCCCCCGGCCCCAGGAGGTCCATGCTTAGCTTCCCAGAACCGACGCTGGTCCCCGTGGTGCTGCTCACCCCCTCCCGGACCAGAACCGACACCTTGGACTGCAGCTTTCCTTTCCTTTCCTTCTTGGATTTCCCAGATCGGATCAGATCCTTTCTGCTGCTCTTATTCCGGACTTTGTCCTTCCCTACCTTCCTGACTCTCTTTGCCGATGAGAGTCCAGGAGCGCCGGCGGCCGGACCGGGAGCGGCGCTAAGCGAGGACAGACTGTTGCTGGCGGTCCTGGTGGAGGACGATTCGGCTTTTTTGGGGGTGTGCGTCTTCTTCTTGGGGTGACCTTGCCTGGCTTTAGGCGAGGGTTTGACTTTCGGACTTTGGACAGGAGGTTCCAGAGGCAGAGGAGCAGGAGGCGTCTCCTCCAAGGACGGATAATCAGAGTCCAAAGCTTCTCCGTCCAAAGACAGAATGTCCATTTCCAGTTTGTCCGAGTAGCGGTCCGACTCGTAACCATGGTACCTCAGTGGGGACAGCGAGCGGCTGCGGGCTCCTTCCCGGCTCTCGCCGTCTGCTACCGATTTCCATTTCCTCCTCTTCCTGTCCTCGTTGGGACGGCAGGGAGAGGCGGGGGCCAGGCGGGGGGAGCCGGGGACGGTGGTGGTGGTCGTGGTGGTGGTTACTGTGATTGTCCGCTTTATAGCAAAGAGGTCCGACCCATTGAGGTCTTGAATAGACGGCGGGACGACGGGACGGCCTTCCCGCCGGCGCTCCCGGTCTCGGTTGGCGTCCCGGTCCTCCCTGCTGCTCTTGGACCTTTTCTGAAGACGGCGCTCTCTGCTGCTGGACTCCCTCTTCCTCTCCCGCCTCCTGGAACTGGACTCTCGGGCTCTTTCGTCTTTCCTGCGACTGCTGCTGCTGTTACGATGCCGGTCCCTGTCTCTGTGACTCCTCCTGTCCCGGTCTTTGTCCCTGTCCCGGTGTCTCTCCTCAGAGATGCTGGAGAAGGAACGTCTGGAGTGCGTCTCCTTCCTGGAGGAGTGTCGGGAGCCCTCAGGGCTGCTGTGGCGTCTCTTCTTTCCTTTCCGAATGCTGCTCCTGCTGCCCCTCCTGACTTTGACCTCCTTCCCGTCCCTCTGTCCTCCTGATTTCTCTTTGCTTCTCCCCCGCTCCTCCTCTTTGCCCTTCCTCCTCTTCTTCCTCCTGGTCACCTTCTCTCCTGGCTTCCTGTCCTTGCTCTTCTGTCTGTCCCGGTCTCTGGAGCTCTTGGAGGCCTTGTGGTTCTTGCTGGGTGTCTCTGCAGGGGGAGTGACGGGGGAGGCAGAGGGGGAGGCCTGAGGAAGGGGAGGCGGGGGCTGAGAAGACAGAGGGGAGGAGGCAGGAAACGACAGATATCTCTCCTTTCTCCTGCTGACCAGCTTCCTTCTCAGGTCCTCCACTCCGACATCAGGCTCCTCCTCCTCCAGCTCGTCCTCCCAGTTTCCCTCCGTGCAGACGGAGACAAACGCGTCTCCGTCCAGGACCCGGAGGATGCGCTCCGGTTTGGAGCCAAAGAAGGAGTTAGAAGGAGGAGGATCTTCTGGAGGCTTCTTCTTGTCAGCAGCTCCAACGATCTCCCCCTCCTCTATCTCAGAGTGATCCGAGGCCCCGGCTTCCCACTGTCCCCGCGCCTTGGAGCTGCCGTCCACTCTCCTCCTCAGAGGGGGCTGCCGGCTCCTGCTGGGGCTCCTGCCGGGGCTCCTGCTGGGGCTCCTGCCGGGGCTCCTGCTGGGGCTCCTGCCGGGGCTCCTGCTGGGGCTCCTGCCGGGGCTCCTGCCGGGGCTCCTGCCGGGGCTCCTGGGATCAGTCAGAACCTCCGTGGAATCTGGAGGTTCTTCATGGTTGATTTCCACATGTTGCTCCTGGATCTCCTGGTCTTTGAGTCCATCGTCTGACGGCGGGGAGCCGGTGGGGTCAAAGGGGTCGTATTTCTCCCCTTCCTCCCCCGCTGCCCTCCTCCCTTTCTCTCCATCAGTGGGGCTGTAGGGGTAGTGCATGGACCCCATCCCCTCCTCCTCCTGCATGGGCGAGCGGGGGGCGTTCCTGGAGGCAGGTGAGGTCAGAGGTCGCGTGGACGTAGAAGACACCCTGGCCACCTCGCTCAGAGCTCGGACATCGCCTTTAAAGTCGTTTCCAAAGAGAGACGAGGAGGAAGACAACGGAGAAGACGGCTCAGAGGAGGGAGGAGAGGGAGAGGAGAAGGGTGAGCAGGGAGGGGGGCTCCTGGAGGTCTCAGCTGGGGAGGAGGAGGGTGAGGACCTCCTTCTGAAGCCTGTGGCTGACGTAGAGTCCATGGGTGGAGGACCTGAAGCTCAGAGTCTGGCAGCAACCTGAGGAGAGAGCAGAGGTCATGACTTCTTGGTTCTCTCTGTCAAAGTATTCACACCCATCGCAGAGTCTGGATCTACAGCGGCTAGATCTACAGCGGACGGATCTACAGCGGACGGATCTACAGCGGACGGATCTACAGCGGCTACATCTACAGCGGACGGATCTACAGCGGACGGATCTACAGCGGACGGATCTACAGCGGCTACATCTACAGCGGACGGATCTACAGCGGACGGATCTACAGCGGCTACATCTACAGCGGACGGATCTACAGCGGCTAGATCTACAGCGGACGGATCTACAGCGGCTACATCTACAGCGGACGGATCTACAGCGGACGGATCTACAGCGGCTACATCTACAGCGGACGGATCTACAGCGGCTACATCTACAGCGGCTGGATCTACAGCGGCTGGATCTACAGCGGCTAGATCTACAGCGGACGGATCTACAGCGGACGGATCTACAGCGGCTACATCTACAGCGGACGGATCTACAGCGGACGGATCTACAGCGGACGGATCTACAGCGGCTACATCTACAGCGGACGGATCTACAGCGGACGGATCTACAGCGGCTACATCTACAGCGGACGGATCTACAGCGGCTAGATCTACAGCGGACGGATCTACAGCGGCTACATCTACAGCGGACGGATCTACAGCGGACGGATCTACAGCGGCTACATCTACAGCGGACGGATCTACAGCGGCTACATCTACAGCGGCTGGATCTACAGCGGCTGGATCTACAGCGGCTAGATCTACAGAGTCTGGATCTACAGCGGACGGATCTACAGCGGCTGGATCTACAGAGTCTGGATCTACAGCGGACGGATCTACAGCGGCTGGATCTACAGCAGACGGATCTACAGCAGACGGATCTACAGCGGCTAGATCTACAGAGTCTGGATCTACAGCGGACGGATCTACAGCGGCTAGATCTACAGAGTCTGGATCTACAGCGGACGGATCTACAGCGGCTAGATCTACAGAGTCTGGATCTACAGCAGACGGATCTACAGCGGCTAGATCTACAGAGTCTGGATCTACAGCAGACGGATCTACAGCGGCTAGATCTACAGAGTCTGGATCTACAGCGGACGGATCTACAGCGGCTAGATCTACAGAGTCTGGATCTACAGCGGACGGATCTACAGCGGCTGGATCTACAGCAGACGGATCTACAGCGGACGGATCTACAGCGGCTAGATCTACAGCGGACGGATCTACAGCGGACGGATCTACAGCGGACGGATCTACAGCGGACGGATCTACAGCGGACGGATCTACAGCGGCTAGATCTACAGCGGACGGATCTACAGCGGACGGATCTACAGCGGACGGATCTACAGCGGCTACATCTACAGCGGACGGATCTACAGCGGCTACATCTACAGCGGCTGGATCTACAGCGGCTGGATCTACAGCGGCTAGATCTACAGCGGACGGATCTACAGCGGACGGATCTACAGCGGCTACATCTACAGCGGACGGATCTACAGCGGACGGATCTACAGCGGACGGATCTACAGCGGCTACATCTACAGCGGACGGATCTACAGCGGACGGATCTACAGCGGCTACATCTACAGCGGACGGATCTACAGCGGCTAGATCTACAGCGGACGGATCTACAGCGGCTACATCTACAGCGGACGGATCTACAGCGGACGGATCTACAGCGGCTACATCTACAGCGGACGGATCTACAGCGGCTACATCTACAGCGGCTGGATCTACAGCGGCTGGATCTACAGCGGCTAGATCTACAGAGTCTGGATCTACAGCGGACGGATCTACAGCGGCTGGATCTACAGAGTCTGGATCTACAGCGGACGGATCTACAGCGGCTGGATCTACAGCAGACGGATCTACAGCGGACGGATCTACAGCGGCTACATCTACAGCGGACGGATCTACAGCGGACGGATCTACAGCGGCTACATCTACAGCGGACGGATCTACAGCGGCTAGATCTACAGCGGACGGATCTACAGCGGCTACATCTACAGCGGACGGATCTACAGCGGACGGATCTACAGCGGCTACATCTACAGCGGACGGATCTACAGCGGCTACATCTACAGCGGCTGGATCTACAGCGGCTGGATCTACAGCGGCTAGATCTACAGAGTCTGGATCTACAGCGGACGGATCTACAGCGGCTGGATCTACAGAGTCTGGATCTACAGCGGACGGATCTACAGCGGCTGGATCTACAGCAGACGGATCTACAGCAGACGGATCTACAGCGGCTAGATCTACAGAGTCTGGATCTACAGCGGACGGATCTACAGCGGCTAGATCTACAGAGTCTGGATCTACAGCGGACGGATCTACAGCGGCTGGATCTACAGCAGACGGATCTACAGCGGACGGATCTACAGCGGCTAGATCTACAGCGGACGGATCTACAGCGGACGGATCTACAGCGGACGGATCTACAGCGGACGGATCTACAGCGGACGGATCTACAGCGGCTAGATCTACAGCGGACGGATCTACAGCGGACGGATCTACAGCGGCTAGATCTACAGCGGACGGATCTACAGCGGCTAGATCTACAGCGGACGGATCTACAGCGGACGGATCTACAGCGGCTAGATCTACAGCGGACGGATCTACAGCGGCTAGATCTACAGCGGACGGATCTACAGCGGACGGATCTACAGCGGACGGATCTACAGCGGCTAGATCTACAGCGGCTAGATCTACAGCGGACGGATCTACAGCGGCTAGATCTACAGCAGACGGATCTACAGCGGACGGATCTACAGCGGCTACATCTACAGCGGACGGATCTACAGCGGACGGATCTACAGCGGCTACATCTACAGCGGACGGATCTACAGCGGACGGATCTACAGCGGACGGATCTACAGCGGCTACATCTACAGCGGCTGGATCTACAGCGGACGGATCTACAGCGGACGGATCTACAGCGGACGGATCTACAGCGGACGGATCTACAGCGGCTAGATCTACAGCGGACGGATCTACAGCGGACGGATCTACAGCGGACGGATCTACAGCGGACGGATCTACAGCGGACGGATCTACAGCGGCTAGATCTACAGCGGACGGATCTACAGCGGACGGATCTACAGCGGACGGATCTACAGCGGCTAGATCTACAGCGGCTAGATCTACAGCGGACGGATCTACAGCGGCTGGATCTACAGCGGACGGATCTACAGCGGCTAGATCTACAGCGGACGGATCTACAGCGGACGGATCTACAGCGGACGGATCTACAGCGGACGGATCTACAGCGGACGGATCTACAGCGGCTAGATCTACAGCGGACGGATCTACAGCGGCTACATCTACAGCGGACGGATCTACAGCGGACGGATCTACAGCGGACGGATCTACAGCGGACGGATCTACAGCGGCTAGATCTACAGCGGACGGATCTACAGCGGACGGATCTACAGCGGCTAGATCTACAGCGGACGGATCTACAGCGGACGGATCTACAGCGGCTAGATCTACAGCGGACGGATCTACAGCGGACGGATCTACAGCGGCTAGATCTACAGCGGACGGATCTACAGCGGACGGATCTACAGCGGCTAGATCTACAGCGGACGGATCTACAGCGGACGGATCTACAGCGGACGGATCTACAGCGGCTAGATCTACAGCGGACGGATCTACAGCGGCTAGATCTACAGCGGACGGATCTACAGCGGACGGATCTACAGCGGACGGATCTACAGCGGACGGATCTACAGCGGCTAGATCTACAGCGGAAGGATCTACAGCGGCTGGATCTACAGCGGACGGATCTACAGCGGACGGATCTACAGCGGACGGATCTACAGCGGACGGATCTACAGCGGACGGATCTACAGCGGACGGATCTACAGCGGCTAGATCTACAGCGGACGGATCTACAGCGGACGGATCTACAGCGGCTAGATCTACAGCGGACGGATCTACAGCGGACGGATCTACAGCGGACGGATCTACAGCGGACGGATCTACAGCGGACGGATCTACAGCGGCTAGATCTACAGCGGACGGATCTACAGCGGACGGATCTACAGCGGCTAGATCTACAGCGGACGGATCTACAGCGGACGGATCTACAGCGGCTAGATCTACAGCGGACGGATCTACAGCGGACGGATCTACAGCGGCTAGATCTACAGCGGACGGATCTACAGCGGCTAGATCTACAGCGGACGGATCTACAGCGGACGGATCTACAGCGGACGGATCTACAGCGGACGGATCTACAGCGGCTAGATCTACAGCGGAAGGATCTACAGCGGCTAGATCTACAGCGGACGGATCTACAGCGGACGGATCTACAGCGGCTAGATCTACAGCGGACGGATCTACAGCGGACGGATCTACAGCGGCTAGATCTACAGCGGACGGATCTACAACGGCTAGATCTACAGCGGACGGATCTACAGCGGCTAGATCTACAGCGGACGGATCTACAGCGGACGGATCTACAGCGGACGGATCTACAGCGGACGGATCTACAGCGGACGGATCTACAGCGGCTAGATCTACAGCGGACGGATCTACAGCGGACGGATCTACAGCGGCTAGATCTACAGCGGACGGATCTACAGCGGCTAGATCTACAGCGGACGGATCTACAGCGGCTAGATCTACAGCGGACGGATCTACAGCGGACGGATCTACAGCGGCTAGATCTACAGCGGACGGATCTACAGCGGACGGATCTACAGCGGCTAGATCTACAGCGGACGGATCTACAGCGGCTAGATCTACAGCGGACGGATCTACAGCGGACGGATCTACAGCGGCTAGATCTACAGCGGACGGATCTACAGCGGCTAGATCTACAGCGGACGGATCTACAGCGGCTAGATCTACAGCGGACGGATCTACAGCGGACGGATCTACAGCGGCTAGATCTACAGCGGACGGATCTACAGCGGCTAGATCTACAGCGGACGGATCTACAGCGGACGGATCTACAGCGGCTAGATCTACAGCGGACGGATCTACAGCGGACGGATCTACAGCGGCTAGATCTACAGCGGACGGATCTACAGCGGCTAGATCTACAGCGGACGGATCTACAGCGGACGGATCTACAGCGGCTAGATCTACAGCGGACGGATCTACAGCGGCTAGATCTACAGCGGACGGATCTACAGCGGCTAGATCTACAGCGGACGGATCTACAGCGGCTGGATCTACAGCGGACGGATCTACAGCGGCTAGATCTACAGCGGATGGATCTACAGCGGACGGATCTACAGCGGACGGATCTACAGCGGACGGATCTACAGCGGCTAGATCTACAGCGGACGGATCTACAGCGGCTGGATCTACAGCGGCTGGATCTACAGCGGCTAGATCTACAGAGTCTGGATCTACAGCGGACGGATCTACAGCGGCTGGATCTACAGCGGCTGGATCTACAGCGGACGGATCTACAGCGGCTGGATCTACAGAGTCTGGATCTACAGCGGCTGGATCTACAGAGTCTGGATCTACAGCGGCTGGATCTACAGAGTCTGGATCTACAGCGGCTGGATCTACAGCGGCTAGATCTACAGCGGATGGATAAACAGAGTCTGGATCTACAGCGGCTGGATCTACAGCGGCTAGATCTACAGCGGCTGTGTTTTCATTTCATTTCTATTCTAAACCTTTTCTTTGATCCTTTCATATCAGCTTATCTAACTGATATTTATCTGTAAGTTTTCATTGATTGGATCCAGTTAATGGGGGGGGGGTTAACCTAGCGGTCAGGGCATGGCGCACAGACCGCCACTCTAGGTCCCTGAGCCAGACCATTAACCCCTCACTGCTCCCCAGTGGGGTGGGTTACATGCATAAACCAGCCCTTCACCACTGGGAAACATGGTGGTGAAAGCATCATGCTGGGGGACCAGGAGACTGGTCAGAACCATAGAAGATGGATGGAGGTCAGGACCATGGTGGATCCTCTGCCCGCAGGAATCAGCTGTCAGAGTGGCCTAGTCAAAGACCAGGAACCACAGGCCTCCACCCAAATGACCTGAACTCACCCAGAACCATAGATGTTGGTGACATAGATGTCGGAGGCAGAACTAGCGAGCTTCATGGAGCTTTTCCAGCTGTGATGGAGCCTTTAGCATGAAGCTAACTGTTAGCCTCCCTGTTGGAGCTTCTTCTAGGAGCGCTTTGATTCCAGGAGGATCTTCATCCCGGATTATTCTAGTCTGGTTGATCATTTCTAACCACTTTCAGAGAACAGAAACCTTCTGCTAGCAGCTAGTTGCTTTAGCCTGCAGTGCTAACATGTTACCTTGACGAGGATGTCTTCTTCTTCTTCTGTCTGACGGAGAACCTCCGCCCTTCCTCCACCTGAACTCCTCCAGGCTCTCCAACCGAACCGAACCGAACCGAAGCTCCAGCTGCTCTGCTCGTTTCAAAACCGAAGGAGTCCTCTTCTATTAGCCGCCGCCATCTTCCTCCCCTGAAGCCGCCGGACAGCAAGGAATCATGGGAAACTGAGTTTTTCTGATGGGTGGTCATCACAGATGCCGCCCCCCCCCCCGGGACTTCAGCATAAAGTGCACCTCGCCATGGCCGGTTCTAGATAGGGGCCAAACGGGGCCAGTGCCCCTGTTATTGGCCCTGTTCTGAAGACATAACTAGTTCTAATGACGATGCTCTGGAACAGACATGGTTACTGATGGCTCCTTTGGATCTAGTTCATTCTTTTCTTTACAAATTCTGTTTTACTAATTATTCAAAAACAATAAGGTGATAGCTTCAGATAGGTTCCCAGTTTTCATCTGTTAATTTATTTTTCTTCACAACAAATAAAAAAAATGCTTTTTTTTTAGATGTATTTAACAATTTATCTTAAGTTCTAATTCAAATTTTATAGAAAACTGTAGTTTTAACTTCAATAAAGTGAAAAATATGTAAAATTCCTGAATTCTAAATGTACCTCCTGGCCCCCTGGTACATTTGGTCTAGGTTCTCAGAGCTTCTTTTGCAGCATTTTTATTGCCATTAAAGTGTCACCAGTTGAGAGGAGTGTCATTCACCCTCCCCCTCAGGGAGCTTCACTAAACACTGACAAAATAGGATTTTTATGATAAATCTTTTCAAATCAATTAATTAAATTCTTAAGAAAAACTAGTGGTAGGAGGAGAGCACTTAAACTCACTTCAAGTACCAGGTTCAATCCCCACAGCCTCCACTCTGAGTCCCTCAGCAAGGCCGTTAAACCGCACAATGGCAACCCACTAGTCCCCTTGGGGACCTCCTGGTCCTTCGGGGGGGCGGCAGACCTCCTGGTCCCTCTGGGGGGCGGCAGACCTCCTGGTCCCTCTGGGGGGCGGTGGACCTCCTGGTCCCTCTAGGAGTAACCAGGAGTTTCTTTCTTTAGAGTTTTGGCTAATGCTAAAATAAAATCTGACCTGTGATTTGAACTAAAGGCCTGTGTTTCCATGGAGAACAATCAGTTGAGGAAAGGTCATTCTGGGACGGGGCTGCTTCACCAGTTCCTGCTTGGAATCAGGGTCCGACCCGGGGCCTACCGGGTCAGAACCAGATTCAGACGAGGCAAAACGTTCAGATTAAAAGTGGAGATCAGTGAGAGAAAAGGAAAAGTTCTGATAGAAAATGACCCAAAGCCCGGTTGAACAAACCACAGAACCACCGTTCACAGACAAACATCTTTATTCCCCGTAATCCGGTTCTGAACATAAAGCTTTAGAATCCTAATTCCAACAGAATCACAATCCAAAAAAAGAAGATATTCTAGAAACCAAAAGATTTTCACAGCAAAATACAAAACAGGGAAACCAGCAGAACCAATGGGAGCGGAACCAGTCTGACCCATTTGTACCCGGGTCCAGGGACTGGAACAGAACCTGGAGGATGAATAAAGCCATAAATCCTCTATTGCACTAATGATGGGAACCACAGAGGTTCCACTGGATCCAGAAGGTCCTCAGAGATCCAACTGGAACCAGAACGTCCTCAGAGGTCAAAATGGATCCAGAAGGTCCTCAGAGGCTCCACTGGATCCAGAAGGTCCTCAGAGGCTCCACTGGATCCAGAAGGTCCTCAGAGGCTCCACTGGATCCAGAAGGTCCTCAGAGCTCCACTGGATCCAGAAGGTCCTCAGAGCTCCACTGGATCCAGAAGGTCCTCAGAGGCTCCACTGGATCCAGAAGGTCCTCAGAGCTCCACTGGATCCAGAAGGTCCTCAGAGGCTCCACTGGATCCAGAAGGTCCTCAGAGGCTCCACTGGAACCAGAACGTCCTCAGAGGCTCCACTGGATCCAGAAGGTCCTCAGAGGCTCCACTGGATCCAGAAGGTCCTCAGAGGCTCCACTGGATCCAGAAGGTCCTCAGAGCTCCACTGGATCCAGAAGGTCCTCAGAGGCTCCACTGGATCCAGAAGGTCCTCAGAGCTCCCACTGGAACCAGAACGTCTTCAGAGGCTCCACTGGATCCAGAAGGTCCTCAGAGGCTCCACTGGATCCAGAAGGTCCTCAGAGGCTCCACTGGATCCAGAAGGTCCTCAGAGGCTCCACTGGATCCAGAAGGTCCTCAGAGGCTCCACTGGATCCAGAAGGTCCTCAGAGGCTCCACTGGAACCAGAACGTCCTCAGAGGCTCCACTGGATCCAGAAGGTCCTCAGAGCTCCCACTGGAACCAGAACGTCCTCAGAGGCTCCACTGGATCCAGAAGGTCCTCAGAGCTCCCACTGGATCCAGAACGTCATCCGGCTGCTGCCAGAACCCAAAAGTTCTGGAAGCCTCTGGCTCGCTTTAAGCTACGTCCAACCTGGAGGTCCTGTGAGCAACAAGTTCTCCAGAACTTTAGTTCAAACAGGAACCATTTATTGACCTGGTACTTATTGAAGCCTTAAAAGCTGTAAACATAAAGATCAGAACCTGACCGGATCAGAACCAGTCTGGCTCTGCTGCACCGACCCACAGAAAATATAACAAAGATCCAAATGAAAACTAAAGCCGACTCTGGTTTGAGAACCAGAACCGTTTCTAATGATGGTTGGATCCGGTTCCTCCTGGTCAGCAGAACTGAATCAAAACCTGCAGAACTTCCACTGTGAAGGCCTGGAGAGTGACTTCTTTGGTTCTGGTTCCTGAGCTTCAGCAGAACGGGCCCAAACTCTGAGTCCGGTTCTCAAATAAAATATCCTACAAAATGGAGCATTTGGCACCTTTGGATTATTGCTGCCTGGTCAGGAACCAGAACCAGAACCAGAACAGGAGGAAGCAGGCAGACGGTTCTGAAAGCAGCAGGTTGGACCTCAGGCTGAAGCCTGCAGAACAGAATCCTTTAAAAATCTAAATCCAAACGGTTCTGTTTGCTTCTCCTGCTGCTCTTAAAGTACAGGGTCCCTCTAGTCTAGCCGGGCGGGGCCAGCACTGCTGGACCCGGCGAGGTGCGGTTCTAATCAGAACAGCCCAGCATCTTTGGCCATCTTGTAGAACAGTCCTCTGCTGGCGATCAGGTTGGACGGCGAGTCGAACTCGGCCATCTGGCCTTTATCCAGAACCAGAACCCTAAAGGACACAAAGAGCCGGATCAGAGCAGAACTACAGACAGCTACATGTTTGGAGTCCTGGTCCTCCTGGTTCTCCTCCTGGTGGGACGTGCCTGGAACCTCTCAGAGGGAGGCGTCCATCAGACAAAGATGATCCTCCTCAGCTGACTCCTCTGTAGGAGAAGCAGCTCTACTCTCATCCGTCTATCGGTCTCCGTCAGTCACATGACATTTGTTGCTAAGACGCCATTTTGGTGGAAAAGGCGTAGTGTAAACAACCGCAGCATAGCTAAACGAAGGACTAAAGGATTGAGTTTGTTTCTCTGACTATATGGAAAAAAGTAAGCATAATGCGAAATTACCGTACTGATGTCGTGCCAAGGTAGTTATCCCTGCGAAAATTTGTATCCCCTCGTCGGGAGCGCGCACGGAGTAGGACGAACATCATAAAAGATGTTTATAAGCCAAAAATGGAAAAGCTGGGGCCTTTTTGGCCTGATTTAGACAGGGGGAACAGATTATAGCAGGTTTTATTTCATCCCATATTGCCAATTGTGGCAAAATGGGATGAAATAAAACGGCTGATGTTAGAAGACAAACTGTTTATTAAGGATAGTACAACATAGATAAATTGTACGTTACTATAAACACAAATATAGATTTAAGTACTAAATTTCAACCAGGAAAAAATTATTTTCCTTCTGCATATAGTCTTTAATGATTACACGTGCACTCCATTTTCTATTTCATTTTTATTACAAGTATACGGTTTCCAACAGTTTTCAATGAGATGAGAACATTTGGACACTGAAACAATGAGAGCTTTTTTTAAGGAACGTGTGAAAAAGAACAAGGATCTGTTTGCTTTCAGAGGGAGGAGTAGACACTGCTGTCAGCGACCAGCTTTCAAGCAAACGTTTGTGTTTTATTATTAGTTTTAGATCAATATCACTGGCGATATTCTGCTATAACACGTGAAGTAAAGAATAAAACAGTAAAGCTCAACTTTCATACACGTACAACCTTTCAAATTTCAAGTTCTGCACGTTGGAATTGAAGCGGACTTAACTCGGGTTGTTCGTCCTACTCCGTGCGCGCTCCCGACGAGGGGATACAAATTTTCGCAGGGATAACTACCTTGGCACGACACCGGGACTGGCAGCCTCTCACACAACACGATCGTGTCATTTCTGGTAAATAATTGTGCCGAAAGAACAGCCGGGTGTGGCTTATCTCGACCTTCCACCTAATATGGTGTTTTTCCCACGATGCACCGCGCCCGAGGTAAACAATTGACGTCACTTGGCGGAGACCAATAGGTCCGTCTATAGATCCGTCTATAGATCCGTCTATAGGTCCGTCTATAGGTCCGTCTATAGGTCCGTCTATAGATCCGTCTATGGATCCGTCTATGGGTCCGTCTATAGATCCGTCTATAGATCCGTCTATAGGTCCGTCTATAGGTCCGTCTATAGGTCCGTCTATAGATCCGTCTATGGATCCGTCTATGGGTCCGTCTATAGATCCGTCTATAGATCCGTCTATAGATCCGTCTATGGGTCCGTCTATGGGTCCGTCTATGGGTCCGTTTATAGATCCGTCTATGGATCCGTCTATGGGTCCGTCTATAGATCCGTCTATAGATCCGTCTATAGATCCGTCTATGGGTCCGTCTATGGGTCCGTCTATGAGTCCGTCTATGGGTCCGTCTATGGGTCCGTCTATAGATCCGTCTATGGGTCCGTCTATGGGTCCGTCTATGGGTCCGTCTATAGATCCGTCTATAGATCCGTCTATAGGTCCGTCTATAGGTCCGTCTATAGGTCCGTCTATAGATCCGTCTATGGATCCGTCTATGGGTCCGTCTATAGGTCCGTCTATAGATCCGTCTATAGGTCCGTCTATAGGTCCGTCTATAGGTCCGTCTATAGGTCCGTCTATAGATCCGTCTATGGATCCGTCTATGGGTCCGTCTATAGATCCGTCTATAGATCCGTCTATAGATCCGTCTATGGGTCCGTCTATGGGTCCGTCTATGGGTCCGTCTATGAGTCCGTCTATGGGTCCGTCTATGGGTCCGTTTATAGATCCGTCTATGAGTCCGTCTATGGGTCCGTCTATAGATCCGTCTATGGATCCGTCTATGGGTCCGTCTATGGGTCCGTCTATGGGTCCGTCTATGAGTCCGTCTATGGGTCCGTCTATGGGTCCGTCTATAGATCCGTCTATGGGTCCGTCTATGGGTCCGTCTATGGGTCCGTCTATGAGTCCGTCTATGAGTCCGTCTATGAGTCCGTCTATGGGTCCGTTTATAGATCCGTCTATGAGTCCGTCTATGGGTCCGTCTATAGATCCGTCTATGGGTCCGTCTATGAGTCCGTCTATAGATCCGTCTATAGATCCGTCTATAGGTCCGTCTATAAATCCGTCTATAGGTCCGTCTATGGGTCCGTCTATAGATCCGTCTATGGATCCGTCTATAGGTCCGTCTATTAGTCCGTCTATGAGTCCGTCTATGGGTCCGTCTATAGATCCGTCTATAGGTCCGTCTATAAATCCGTCTATAGGTCCGTCTATGGGTCCGTCTATAGATCCGTCTATAGGTCCGTCTATAAATCCGTCTATAGGTCCGTCTATGGGTCCGTCTATAGATCCGTCTATAGGTCCGTCTATAAATCCGTCTATAGGTCCGTCTATGGGTCCGTCTATAGATCCGTCTATGGATCCGTCTATGGGTCCGTCTATAGATCCGTCTATAGATCCGTCTATAGATCCGTCTATAGATCCGTCTATGGATCCGTCTATGGGTCCGTCTATGGATCCGTCTATGGGTCCGTCTATGGATCCGTCTATGAGTCCGTCTATGAGTCCGTCTATGGATCCGTCTATAGATCCGTCTATAGATCCGTCTATAGATCCGTCTATATATCCGTCTATAGATCCGTCTATAGATCCGTGTATGGGTCCGTCTATGGATCCGTCTATGGGTCCGTCTATAGATCCGTCTATAGATCCGTCTATGGGTCCGTCTATGGGTCCGTCTATAGATCCGTCTATGGGTCCGTCTATGGATCCGTCTATGGGTCCGTCTATGGATCCGTCTATGGGTCCGTCTATAGATCCGTCTATGGGTCCGTCTATGGGTCCGTCTATGAGTCCGTCTATGGATCCGTCTATGGGTCCGTCTATAGATCAGTCTATAGATCCGTCTATAGATCCGTCTATAGATCCGTCTATAGATCCGTCTATAGATCCGTCTATAGATCCGTCTATAGATCCGTCTATAGATCCGTCTATAGGTCCGTCTATAGGTCCGTCTATGGGTCCGTCTATGGGTCCGTCTATGGATCCGTCTATGGGTCCGTCTATGGGTCCGTCTATGGGTCCGTCTATGGGTCCGTCTATGGATCCGTCTATGGGTCCGTCTATGGGTCCGTCTATGGATCCGTCTATGGGTCCGTCTATGGATCCGTCTATGGGTCCGTCTATGGGTCCGTCTATGGATCCGTCTATGGGTCCGTCTATGGATCCGTCTATGGATCCGTCTATGGGTCCGTCTATGGATCCGTCTATGGGTCCGTCTATGGGTCCGTCTATGGGTCCGTCTATGGATCCGTCTATGGGTCCGTCTATGGATCCGTCTATGGATCCGTCTATGGATCCGTCTATGGATCCGTCTATGGATCCGTCTATGGGTCCGTCTATGGGTCCGTCTATGGGTCCGTCTATGGGTCCGTCTATGGATCCGTCTATGGATCCGTCTATGGATCCGTCTATGGGTCCGTCTATGGATCCGTCTATGGATCCGTCTATGGGTCCGTCTATGGATCCGTCTATAGGTCCGTCTATGGGTCCGTCTATGGGTCCGTCTATGGGTCCGTCTATGGATCCGTCTATGGATCCGTCTATGGATCCGTCTATGGATCCGTCTATGGGTCCGTCTATGGGTCCGTCTATGGATCCGTCTATGGATCCGTCTATGGATCCGTCTATAGATCCGTCTATGGGTCCGTCTATGGATCCGTCTATGGATCCGTCTATGGGTCCGTCTATGGGTCCGTCTATGGATCCGTCTATGGATCCGTCTATGGATCCGTCTATGGGTCCGTCTATGGGTCCGTCTATGGGTCCGTCTATGGGTCCGTCTATAGATCCGTCTATAGGTCCGTCTATGGATCCGTCTATGAGTCCGTCTATGGGTCCGTCTATGGATCCGTCTATGGGTCCGTCTATGGGTCCGTCTATGGATCCGTCTATGGATCCGTCTATGAGTCCGTCTATGGATCCGTCTATGGGTCCGTCTATGGATCCGTCTATGGATCCGTCTATGGGTCCGTCTATGGGTCCGTCTATAGATCCGTCTATAGGTCCGTCTATGGATCCGTCTATGGGTCCGTCTATGGATCCGTCTATGGGTCCGTCTATGGGTCCGTCTATAGATCCGTCTATAGATCCGTCTATAGATCCGTCTATGGGTCCGTCTATAGATCCGTCTATAGGTCCGTCTATAGGTCCGTCTATAGATCCGTCTATGGGTCCGTCTATGGGTCCGTCTATAGATCCGTCTATGGGTCCGTCTATGGATCCGTCTATGAGTCCGTCTATGAGTCCGTCTATGGGTCCGTCTATGAGTCCGTCTATGAGTCCGTCTATGAGTCCGTCTATGGGTCCGTCTATGGATCCGTCTATGAGTCCGTCTATGAGTCCGTCTATGGGTCCGTCTATAGATCCGTCTATGGGTCCGTCTATGGATCCGTCTATGAGTCCGTCTATGAGTCCGTCTATGGGTCCGTCTATAGATCCGTCTATGGGTCCGTCTATGGATCCGTCTATGGGTCCGTCTATGGATCCGTCTATGAGTCCGTCTATGAGTCCGTCTATGAGTCCGTCTATGGGTCCGTCTATGAGTCCGTCTATGGGTCCGTCTATGGATCCGTCTATGAGTCCGTCTATGAGTCCGTCTATGGGTCCGTCTATAGATCCGTCTATGGGTCCGTCTATGGATCCGTCTATGAGTCCGTCTATGAGTCCGTCTATGGGTCCGTCTATAGATCCGTCTATGGATCCGTCTATAGATCCGTCTATGGGTCCGTCTATGGGTCCGTCTATAGATCCGTCTATGGGTCCGTCTATGGATCCGTCTATGAGTCCGTCTATGAGTCCGTCTATGGGTCCGTCTATAGATCCGTCTATAGATCCGTCTATAGATCCGTCTATAGATCCGTCTATAGATCCGTCTATAGATCCGTCTATGGATCCGTCTATGGATCCGTCTATGGGTCCGTCTATGGGTCCGTCTATAGATCCGTCTATAGGTCCGTCTATGGATCCGTCTATGGATCCGTCTATGGGTCCGTCTATGGATCCGTCTATGAGTCCGTCTATGGATCCGTCTATGGGTCCGTCTATGGATCCGTCTATGGGTCCGTCTATGGGTCCGTCTATAGATCCGTCTATAGGTCCGTCTATGGATCCGTCTATGGGTCCGTCTATGGATCCGTCTATGGGTCCGTCTATGGGTCCGTCTATAGATCCGTCTATAGGTCCGTCTATAGGTCCGTCTATGGATCCGTCTATGGGTCCGTCTATGGGTCCGTCTATAGATCCGTCTATAGATCCGTCTATAGATCCGTCTATGGGTCCGTCTATAGATCCGTCTATGGGTCCGTCTATAGATCCGTCTATAGGTCCGTCTACGGGTCCGTCTATGAGTCCGTCTATGGGTCCGTCTATGGATCCGTCTATGGGTCCGTCTATGGATCCGTCTATGGGTCCGTCTATGGGTCCGTCTATGGGTCCGTCTATAGGTCCGTTTATAGATCCGTCTATGAGTCCGTCTATAGGTCCGTCTATGGGTCCGTTTATAGGTCCGTCTATGGATCCGTCTATGAGTCCGTCTATGGGTCCGTCTATGGATCCGTCTATGGGTCCGTCTATGGGTCCGTCTATAGGTCCGTTTATAGATCCGTCTATGAGTCCGTCTATAGGTCCGTCTATGGGTCTATAGGTACCGTTACGCCTCAGACCGACGCTTAACGGCGAGGCATCTCAGACAGAACGGTGTGTGTCGGATCCTGACCTGGTGTAGTCCATGATGGTCTTCAGGCGATGCGCTATGGTCAGAACCGTGCAGTCCTCAAACTGTGAGCGGATGGTGGACTGGATCAGGTTGTCCGTCTCCATGTCTACGGCAGCGGTGGCCTCGTCCAACACCAGGACTTTGGTCTTCCTCAGCAGAGCTCTGGCGAGGCACAGCAGCTGCCTCTGACCCACACTGCAGGAACAAACAGAAACCTGAACCACACCCCTTTACTCTGACAGCCCTGAATGAAATCCAGCCCCCCCTGCTGCTTTCAGACAGATAATAATTTGGAGTTTGGAACGTTTCTTTTGGAGTTTTAGGATCACAGAAGTTATCCTCTAATGACAAATACTACTTCAGATACTAAGAGAAAAGCTGCAACAAGGAGGCGGCTAAAACTAGAAGGACCTACAGTGGATGGATGGTTGGACATTATTTAGAACATCTTTAAGACGGAAAGAATTACTTTTGTTTTAAGGCTAAACAGGGATGTTTCTAAAGAGATGGATCAATATGTCCCTCTGATCCGTCCATCTTCTGTAGCTCCGCTATCAATTTCTCCTTCTTCCTCTTTTTTTCTGGGTCTTTCCATTTCAACCCTTTTCATCAGTAAATTAGTTACTTATTTTCCCATTTATAACAGACATACATTTATGATCTAAGCCAAAGGAGAGATTTTCATTATCTTTGTTATTATTTTCTGTGTGATGGAGGGAGAACCAACCGTCTCTATCTGAACATCCTGTGGAACTGGCTCTGCTGCTGTAATGAACAGATAACTGGAGATAACTGGTGTATTGATTAACAATAAAAATATCAACAAATATAGAATTGAAGAGGCAGGACAGGAAGCAGTGGCGGGAGACCCACTCTGGGTCAGAGAGACGAGAATGGAAAGAAAAGCTGCAGTCAGAAGGTCATTATGGTTGAAGGTCAGCAGGAAGTCCACTTTCTCTTTAGTTTCAGTTCCAGTGGAAAAAAATCTAATTTGAATCATTTAATGAGAGAAAACACGACGTCCACTGAGCTGCTGTTTGCCAGACAGCAATGGCAGCAACACTGGGTGGGTCTATTCTATGGGCTTTATTTCTCTGGGATTCATACCTGAGGTTTTCTCCTCCCTCGCTGCACTCATGGCCCAGTTTGTTGGTCAGGCCTGAGACAAAGTTCTTGAGGTGGGAGAACTCCAATGCCCTCCAGATTTCCTCATCAGAGTAGGAGTCAAAAGGATCCAGGTTCATCCTCAGAGAGCCGGAGAACAGCACGGGGTCCTGGAAGATGAGCAGTGTGTCAGAATAGCCACTAGGCTGCCAAACACTTTCACTAAATCCCTCCCTCTGCTTTACGGCCGTGATAAACGCCTGACCTTTGACCTATAAGAACCTGCTGCTGAGGGTGGCTACATGTGGGAGCAGCTCTGATACTCAGATCCTTTTAAAACAGCCTCAGGTTCCTTGTGAATCAAAGTTAGCTTCTGATCTTTTTCTTACCTCTGGTTTTTAGGTCGCGTGCAGCTGAAAAGATTTTTGTTAATATTTTGTGATTTTTGGACACCTGTTAGCAACCATATCTTACACCCGGCAGCGGCTCATTTCCATTTAGAAAGGTCAAATAATACGCAGTCCCAGCTGAGATGGAAAAGAGGTCGTGGAGATGCAGAGCAGGAGAAAGGAGAAGAGACAAAAGCCATCTCTTCCATCACTATGAAATAAGTTAGCACTCCCTAGCAGGAGCTAGCGCTCCTAGCTCCCTAGAAGCCTAGCTAGGATCCAGCTGGAGAATTGCAGCATTATGGGTTTAACTGAAACATGGCTGCAGGATCATATATCTGACTCCAGTGTCTCTTTGCCAGGCTTTCTGACCAAACCAGCAGACAGAGATTTAAAGAGGACTGGGAGAAGATCCCCAGCACCATGCAGCGCTCCTGCGTTGATCTCTGCTGGCCGTGCAGCCACAACAGGCCACTTTGCTTCAGTGGGATTCCCTTCACTGACCTGTGGGATGATGGTGATTCTGGAACGAAGCTCGTGGAGGCCTAGCTTAGCGATGTCGACTCCATCAATGAAGATTTGTCCTTCCGCTGCCTCGATGATCCGGAACAGCCCCAAGGTTAGGGAGGACTTCCCTGCTCCAGTCCTGCCAACAATCCCCACCTGATGAGGAGCAGCAGCACATCCACGGTGACCAGAGGTGATCTCAGGTCACCGTGAGGATAAAGCAGCAGGACCAACCTTCTCTCCTCCGTTAATGGTGATGGTGATGTCGCGAATGGCCAGGTCCAGGTCATGGCGATAGCGCAGACCAAAACCTTGAATGTCGATGCAGCCCTGGGTGGGCCAGCCAGGGGGTACGGTGGGCGGCTGGTGATGCCACTGGGCCTGTGGGGCAGAGAACACACCTGAATACCAGTAAATATATTTCACTTCATTTCTGTCCATAGAATCAAGGAAGCAATAAACCAACCAACAGTGAAAACGACTATAGCCAACAAGAACAATACAGGTAGACTAATCTGATCATCTGTAATGTCTCAGACGTTCAACCATGCCATACCTAGTTCTATAATTTAAAGATCTAGATACCTGCACAGGACATGCAAGCACTTTCACTACTTTCATTCCATGAAGAGTAGAAGATCTCTGGACGCCTGCAGAAGTCCTGCTGATCTGGTGCCTCCCTGGTAGCTCATGTGGTAAACATGAACTCTTCGCTCGCATTTTCCTGCTGCTCCTGCACCTCCCTGCCTCCTCCTGCTTTGCTGTGTCTTGTCTTTTCTAAGCTCTCTCTTCATTTCACCCAAACTCAAAAAAGGGATCTGGTCAGCTGGTCTCAATGCAATGGATCAAACTATCTCAACTGGAAGGCAGGGTAAAGGGGACCCGTCCCGTCCTGCCGGGACATACTTGATGGGATTCACCATGGACTCCTGGAAGGCTTGGAGGATGGTGTGTTTCTCAATGCTGCCACTGGAGGATATCGAAGATGTGTGGAGTTTTGATTTTATGATACTCGGATTTCGCCTGTTTGGATTTGGAGGATACCTGATGGATCTACAATTACAGAGGATGTCTGCTGCAGTTTGGGCATTGATCAGGCTGCCGGCAGCGGTTCATGCCCTCACTAAGGCTGTGAATGAGCAGGATCAGGAGATGAGCCGTATGCTGGGTGTGACTGAACGCAGGCTGGCGGCGGTGGTTGAACTCAGAGGTGAGATGGGAGAACATCTTGGATGTGCACGCTCGCTTCAAGGCGGAAAAGACCAACACATCTGGAATATAGGATTTCTCCACCAAAGAGCCAGCAAGACAAAGACTCGAGGCTGAAGGAAACTCCTGTGCAGACTGCTCTCAAAACAATAAGTGTTATTCTAGAATCAACCTCCCCCCCCATCTAATCCCTTCTGGATGTTATGGCAAAAGGGCACAGTAGTCTGCCCCCCCCCCCCACCTGCAAACCATCTGTGGATGCGCTCAGTGACTGTTGATAAACTTCCATCTTATCAAGGACATGGCCTGTGGTCAGCTTTCACGACGAATTGAACGCACTCATCAACACACTACTAACGTCTCAGTACGTCAGACTGACTTCATGTGACTCCGCCTCTGATGTGACCCTCTGCTGAATGTCTGTCTTGTGCTACATGTGCTTTTCTTGTGCAGAGTTTTTTTTATCTCAAACTGTATCCTGTCAAGGATAAAGTGTGAAATATGCTGGGATTAATAAAGAATGTCTCTGGAAGCTCATCAAGAGAACGCCCAGAGTGAGCAAAGCATGATCAGAGCTAAAGGAGGCTACTTTGAAGAACCTAGAATATCATTTTCAGTTGTTTCACACTTTTTTGTTAAGTCTATAATTCCACATGTGTTCATTCATAGTTTTGATGCCTTCAGGGTGAATCTACAATTTTCATAATCGTGAAAATAAAGAAAACTCTTTGAATGATGTGTCTGTACTGTACAAACTATACAAAAAATAAACACATACCGTAAATTCTCTAATATAGGCCCGGGCCTTTATTTCACTCAAGTGCATCGCGGTCCAGGCCTTTATTGGAAAGAGGCCAGAATTAGAGACAGGCCTCTATTGCTATTTGAGCAAGACAGACTACCAGTGGAATGAATAAAAATGAGATTTTGTGTCTATTTGAACCTATAAAACACTAGGTTCATTTATTGAAAAAGTACAGTTACCATGTCTCGCTCGGTTTGAAGTAAAAAGAAAAAAAAAATCCTCCAATTCAGTTTCCTCCTCCTCTTCATCTCTCCCTTTAATCTCCTCATCACTCGCGCTCCTCCTCCTGTTCTGCTGCGTGTCTGTTCTCTTCCTCGCGCAGACGGGCAGCAGTCAGGGCCTGTCGTCCAGCAGCGCAGGGCTGGGGTACTTGTATGTTACTTACTACCACAAGTATAATGTTGAGGTATGCCCAGAAAAAACGTTTATAGCCCCGGCCTGTATTAGAGACCGGCCATTATTTACCTCCTCTGACAGCGAGACCGGCCATTATTAGAGTCCCGGCCGCTATTGGAATACAGGCCAATATTAGAGAATTTACGGTAATACAAAAATAAACACATAACAATGGAAATACACACTTTAATATTATTAATATAATTTCACTTAATTTGACTAAAGACGACATCCTCCCACTATGCTGAACACAGGATATATAAATAAAATCCACCTTCATAGATCTATAGTCTATATTTAGACTATCAGGAGTTTCTCTAAGATGTTATATTAAAATATATTATTTCTCCTCTCCTATAAACCTTTCTAGAATCACTTCCTTATACCTCTTTGTAAATATCTCTATGCTTATGCTCCGTTTTATCTCCTCATCCAAACATTGAGTCTCTCCTCATCGCTTGGTTGGTCTTTTAATTCAGGTTTTAGTCTCTTCCAGTCAACCTGTTTCTCTGCACTCATTTATTTCTGCCTGTCAACAATATTTGAGTTGTTTTGAATTTAACCAAATCCAGGAATTAAAAAAATGTGATTTTATAAAACGTTGCTTAGTGCGTTTCCTATTTGGTTTATTGCCTTACAGCTTTTTTGCTGTGTTTATGGCCGACATAGACAGCAGAGCGCTTTTATTTCCCCCCAGACTTCCACACAGTCTGACAGATATGCTAAAAGAATATAATAATAATAATAATAATTGAACTTTATTGATCTCACATTGGAGAAATTCCCCCTCTGCATTTAGCCCCTCCCCCTGGGCAGCAGTGAGCTGCCATTGTGCGGCGCCCAGGGAGCAGGGTGGGGTTTTTCAGGGACCCAGAGTGGAGGCTGTGGGGGTGGGGCAGGAAGCTCTATGCTGGAACCAGTAGGCCGCCGCTCTCCTGAACAATCAACAATCTGGAGGGATTCATGATCAACATGTTGCTGATTCTCTAAAAGAATGCTGAGCATTTCCTTTATTTTCTTTCTCGATCTGTGAATCATCAGTTATCGACTCCACATGTGATTCTGAACATCTACTTTCCTGAACTATAATCTTTTTTTATTAAGATTTAAAGGTACAAACAAACAAACCATCATTTTAGTTTGTTTATCTTCAACAAAATCTGCAGCAGATTATCTCTTGAACAGAAAATACAGAAAAACAACTTATAGATTAGAAACAATAAAGGACCCAAAATGGCCCCCGGTGGGACTCCAAAGGTAATATCAAAGTATTCTGCTTCTGCTCTATTTCTACATATTGTTTATTAAACAGCTTTATATATTAGATATTATCATATATGCAGCTGATCCAGAACGCAGCCATTTCTGTTTTTCTTTCTGAGTTTTATTTCATGATAATAATCCAGGTTTGGATTCCTGCTCTGAATGAAAAACGTCATCCTTCTCTCACAAAGGAGACCCCGCCCCCCTATGTGAGGAGATGGCGAAGGAATGCGCTGCGTACCTCCTTTCCCGTGCTGGAGTACTCCTTCACCTTCTCCACAGCCACGATATTGGTCTCTACATCAGAGGACATTCTGACCAGCCAGGTCAGAGACGTGGTCAGCTGCATTCAAAGGCAAACAGAGGTCAGGATAGGCTCCTTCTCCCCGGACACTGGAGTCCAGCACTGGGAAGTGTTAGGTTTACCTGCAGGGCATAGGAGATGGAAAGCCCCATGATGCCTGGGCTGAGCTGGTCTCTGGCCATCACAGCAAACAGGGCAGCAAACGACACGATGCAGTTTCCTACAAACTCCAGGCGAATAGCCAGCCACCTGCACAGTCAGAGAACATCAGGCCGTTTTTCCTGAAACGGAAATCACAGGAGCCGCTCTGGAACCGGTGAGCAGACTGGGATGTTTTTAAGCTCAACTGGTCTCATTCTGACCAGTTTAAGAAGGCTGGGAAGATGGCGGCGCTGCTAACCTGTTGGCTACTATGCCAGGGTAGTAGGCCTTCTGGTTGTGGTCCACCCGCTGGTCGCTCTGTTGGATGAAACGCTCCTGCTCGCCAAAAGCTCGGATGACAGAGGTGCCCAGCAATGTCTCGCTAAAGTGGGTGTAGATGGGAGAACGGCTGACAGACTCCAGGCGCTTCAGCTGGCGAGACGTTGCCACATAGAACCTCTGGAGACAAAGAGCCAGTTGAGTGGAGCAGAAGGAGCTGAACTACAGGAAGGACTGGTAACCCACCTGCACAAAAAAGTAGAGCAGCCCCAGGAAAGGAATGATGATAGCCACTAATGGCGTTGCAAACAGGATGATGAGACACGAACCCAACACGTTGAACATGGATCCCATGAACATCTTGAGAATGTTGGGAATTACTGAATCAATGGTGTCCATCTCCTTGGCGAAGCGGTTGACCAGGTTGCCGCTCGGGGTTTTCTCAAAGAAGGACATGGGTGAGCGCAGGACGTCGTACAATAAGGACTGGTGGAGGTAGCGGGAAGCCATGATGCCTCCGATGGACATGGAGAGGGAATAACCAAAGACTGCTACACCTACAAGGTCGCAGAGGAAGGAAGACTGTTCAGAACATCTGCACACTCCTCCAACTCTGTCTTCTTCTGTCAACCACAAACCTACAGGTCATGCATTGGGTTGACGTATTGAAGCTAATTCCTGTTCTGAAATAAGTGGCGTGCATGCTGAAGATGAGGATGATGATGAGTGACTGTTTAATGCTCTGATGGAGGTCGAGTCCAAACATCGTTCAACTTGCCTTTACTAATGGCTTCCGGTCTTTTCTATTTCTCCTGGACGGATTACCTCATCAGGTAGCGGATCAGAGGTTTATCCACTAGGAGGAGCTAATGCTGCTGCGGGTGAGACATAACCTGGCTAAGATAAGGTTAAAGGGGTCATAGAATGCTAAACCGAGTTTCCATTGTCATAGATGAATAACGATAGTTCAGGGGGTGAAATGGACGTACAGAGGAGTTCAACCCCCATCAACACATCCTCGCTCTGCAAATCTCAGTTATAAACTTCCACCATAAAACGTGGATTGTAGCTGACCGCAGACAGGAGGCCGGCTTGTTTTGTTTTTATGAACGCCATTGTGGAAAACGACTGGTGAAGAAGGAGCAGCTAGCAGAGCGAGGCGAGAACGCTGGGACTCTTTTTCCACCTGGATCCCCGCTCTTTTTGGCCCTCATGTCCCTACGTTGTTGGACGAATGCGCCCCCACTCCCTCTCCGCCTCGGCCGTATCTAGACCCACAGCGTATAGTGCAGACCACGCTGCAATATTGAGCATAAATCAAAAATGTCTGCGTCAAGCTCACTGCGACACTCTGCTGCAGAGGATAACCAGGCCTATCGGGTGCTGGAGGACATTGGGACCCCCAGTTGATCATTCTATCTCTATTCTCCCACTCTGCAGAATCTGTTAGTTCAATCTCTAACGTTCTGCTCTCTCTGCTTTTTCTCATAGTAGCTTCATCTGTTCCTGTTTGGAACAGACCAGTATGTATATTTTATATTTTTAACTGCATATGCAGACCTTCCCAGCTCTTTGTTAGGGAGAAATGACCCTCTGCTCCACACCCGATTTTGCAATCCAGCCTTTCTTTGAATCTATTTCTTCTGTTCTAGACCCTGTGAATAATCCGAGTGGTCCAGACCTTTGGGACAACCACAGTGTCTTCAGGCAGAGGATTTCTCAGAGCTGCTAGAGGACACCCTTCCAGCCTGCAGCCGTTTAAAACATTTCTCTTCCTGTCGGGATCGGTTGAGATTCAAACTGGACGTTGATCCTAATCCACCTTCAAACCTCTCCAGAAGAAAGAAGGTCTCAGCTTCTACTTTACAAGTTAGTTCCCATTCTGTCCTCACACACTAATGGACAATAAATGGACAAAAGCTGAATATTTGTGGAGGGTTCAGCACAGCCAGAAGCTCAGTGAAAGAGTCTGATTATATCCTGACTTACCTTGGGTCAGGCCCAGACCGCCGTACACCCCCAGCCTGGTGAGTCTGTACGGCTGGGTGCCGTTGACCACGGGGTCGTCCGTCCACAGGCTGAGCCAGTAGTTGGAGAAAAGGGAGACCACGTGATGGGTGAGGAAGAGCAGCAGACTGATGCAGGACAGAATCACACCAATGGCTTTCAGGTAGGCCCAAAATATGGCCAGCTTGACCTGAGGAGGCAGAGCAGAGCGTCTGGTAGCTGTCAATCACAACCATCGTCACTGTCTGCAGACCTCACAACGTCTGCAGACCTCACAACCATCCCGTCACCGTCTGCAGACCTCACAACCATCCCGTCACCGTCTGCAGACCTCACAACCATCCCGTCACCGTCTGCAGACCTCACAACCATCGTCACCGTCTGCAGACCTCACAACCATCCCGTCACCGTCTGCAGACCTCACAACCATCGTCACCGTCTGCAGACCTCACAACCATCGTCACAGTCTGCAGACCTCACTACCATCCCGTCACCGTCTGCAGACCTCACAACCATCGTCACTGTCTGCAGACCTCACAACGTCTGCAGACCTCACAACCATCCCGTCACCGTCTGCAGACCTCACAACCATCCCGTCACCGTCTGCAGACCTCACAACCATCGTCACCGTCTGCAGACCTCACAACCATCCCGTCACCGTCTGCAGACCTCACAACCATCCCGTCACCGTCTGCAGACCTCACAACCATCGTCACCGTCTGCAGACCTCACAACCATCGTCACCGTCTGCAGACCTCACAACCATCGTCACAGTCTGCAGACCTCACAACCATCGTCACAGTCTGCAGACCTCACAACCATCCCGTCACCGTCTGCAGACCTCACAACCATCGTCACAGTCTGCAGACCTCACAACCATCCCGTCACCGTCTGCAGACCTCACAACCATCGTCACTGTCTGCAGACCTCACAACGTCTGCAGACCTCACAACCATCCCGTCACCGTCTGCAGACCTCACAACCATCGTCACAGTCTGCAGACCTCACAACGTCTGCAGACCTCACAACCATCCCGTCACCGTCTGCAGACCTCACAACCATCGTCACCGTCTGCAGACCTCACAACCATCGTCACCGTCTGCAGACCTCACAACCATCGTCACCGTCTGCAGACCTCACAACCATCCCGTCACCGTCTGCAGACCTCACAACCATCCCGTCACCGTCTGCAGACCTCACAACCATCGTCACAGTCTGCAGACCTCACAACCATCGTCACAGTCTGCAGACCTCACAACCATCCCGTCACCGTCTGCAGACCTCACAACCATCGTCACCGTCTGCAGACCTCACAACCATCGTCACCGTCTGCAGACCTCACAACCATCCCGTCACCGTCTGCAGACCTCACAACCATCCCGTCACCGTCTGCAGACCTCACAACCATCCCGTCACCGTCTGCAGACCTCACAACCATCCCGTCACCGTCTGCAGACCTCACAACCATCCCGTCACCGTCTGCAGACCTCACAACCATCCCGTCACCGTCTGCAGACCTCACAACCATCCCGTCACCGTCTGCAGACCTCACAACCATCCCGTCACCGTCTGCAGACCTCACAACCATCCCGTCACCGTCTGCAGACCTCACACTGATTCTCATTTAAAGCCTCTTTCGGTTCAGAGTCCCATGAAGCTTTTAGCAGGAAGGAAAGAGGAGAAACCTCTGGACCTGAAGGAGACAAGACTTCCACATCCTCTCCAGCATCCGGGGAATAAACAGCATGACCGTTCAGGCTGCGGAGATCAGCCAGGATGGATTTAATCATCCAACGGGGGGGGGGGGGTCGGTATCCTGCAACCTTTAGACGTTCCTTTGTTTCAACACACCTGAATCCTGTAATTAGATGAATGAGGGACTCTGCAGGAAGTGACCTCATACTCAGGAAGTAACTCAGCCATCTGATTCAGGTGTGATGGACCAAGGATGGACCTAAAGGTTGCAGGATAGCGGCCCCCAGGAAGTGGAACCCCCCCCCCTGACCTAGTGCTCCATCTAACACGGGTTAGATGGAGCACTAGGTCAGGCCATGGCTTTGCTTCAGCAATGAGAAAATGACTCCTCTGGACAGACGGACGGCCTTTAGACACCTGATGTTCCACCTTCAGCCAGGGAGGAGCTATAGAACCCTCTCTGACCTCCTCGGGTGAACGTCTGAACATCTGCTGGTTGAACTGATCATTGACTGATGATATAATGAATGAAGTCTTATTGGTGCACGCCGCGGCGTTGGAACCTACGTACCCGCCCAGTGCTGGCCTTGTCAGCCTCCGTCAGCTTCCCCATCTCAGGGTTCTTGGCCTTCTTGTTCAGGTCGGTGCCTCCATCGGTCTCTGCAGACGCTGTGGTCTGCGCCGTGGCAGCAGAGCTGCTGTGGATGGAGGCAGATCAGGTCCGGTTCAGACTGGATCCAGAGCAGAACATCATGTGTGCATAAAGCAGTGATGGAATAAACATGGCTGTTATAAACGTCCTTCCATTCAGATAAGAACTTCAGCCTCTAAATCAGCTCTAAACAAGCTGCAGCGTGCAGCAGCTCTGATAAACAGGAAGCATGGTGGCGCTTCAGAACCGTGGCGCCATGGCCCCGCTGGCGGCGGCGCCCACTGCTGGGGCTACGGTGTACAGGTTCAGCCCCTTCAGAACCGCGGCGCCAAATAATCCTGGTGCCAAAGGCGGGCCGAACCCACCCAACAGATGCCTCCTGTGGTGAGACGTCATGCAGGGACACACCGGGGGGGGGGGGGCTGCCATGTCTGCTCTCAAGCTGAAGCCAACATCACCTCTGGAGATCAAAGAGTTTCCTGCTGCTGGATGATTGATTGATTGATTGATTGATTGATTAATGGAGAACATGTTTCTACCATCAATGATCCTACAGAACTCATTACTGGATCATTATCATTCAGCAGATTCTATGGCAGTTCTGTTCTGGGGGGTTTGAGCGTCCAGAGCTGGTCTGGCTATCAGATGAAGGTCAAACCGTGAAGCTAGGGCTGTAGTGATGCAGTAGTGAACGCTGAGGGTGCAAACATCCAACATGACGGGACTAAAGAGGATCTGAGAACATCACGGCGCCATCAGACCGATATTAAAGCTCTGTGACGCAGCGGTCAGGGTCCGTCCAGAACCGCACCGCAGGATCATCGATCCAAACATTCATGGAGTCCGATCTGCTCCTGGTCAGACCAATGAACCTGAACGCAGACCTGCGGCTCCACAGCAGATCCACTCACCCGATGAGAGGTGGAACATCTCCGTTCTCCAGCGCTGCCGCTTCACTCTTAGCTTCAGCTGCTAAACCTGAGCAGGAAGGAAAGGAGGCTTAGTGGAAACACGCTGATCCAGAACCTGTGGAAGCAAATGAACGGCTGCTCACCACCATCTTCACTTTGCTCCACGTTGGCGTACGTCTTCAGGAACTCTGCAAAGGCGCCCTCTTTGGCCAGGAGCTGCTGGTAGGAGCCCACCTCTGTGATCTCACCCTCCACCATGACCAGGATGAGGTCAGTCTGGGGGAAGTAGCTCAGTCCGTGGGTCACCAGCACCCGGGTCTGCAAGCATCCAAACAAACCAGAGCTTCATGTCAGGAGATTTCCATTTTCCTTCCACCAACAGAACTGCAGCTGAAATGAAGAGCAGCAGCTCAGAGCGTCTCTCCCAGCGCCGGTCTGCGGCCGCCCGGAGCGGCGCCGTGGCGTTGGAGCTTCTCTGACTAGCGTGGTTATCGATGGCGGTTTCCTGTCAGGAACGTTTCCTGCAGCCGTAGCTGTTCGCAGCAAACCAGCAGCCGACCCACCTTGTCCCTCAGCAGGCCCTGCGGGCCGATGACGTGGTCAAAGATGTGCTTTCCAACGTGAGCGTCGACGGCAGAGAGCGGGTCATCCAGCAGGTACACGGCCCGGTCGCAGAACACGGCCCTGGCCAGGCTCAGCCTCTGCTTCTGGCCTCCAGACAGGTTGACCCCCTGAACACAGGTGGAGGTCAGAGTGGTCTCCATGGAGACCAGCAGCAGGACAACATCTTCATTCAGACCTTCTCTCCGATCTCCGTCTGATCTCCAGCAGGGAGGATCTCCAGGTCCGGCTGGAGGGCACAGGCCTCCACCACCCGCTGGTACCAGTCCTCCCTCATCTCCTGGCCGAACATGATGTTCTCCTTCAGCGTGGAGTTCTGGATCCAGGCCTGCTGTGGAACGTAGGCCACAGAACCCTGCAGGAAACACACAGTCGTTTCAGTTTCACTCTGACCTTAAGGTAGTCTCTGCAGGAGCTTTGGTTAAAGTCAGCGGAGCTCCGCTGATGCAGCCATGGAACTAAACTCCTTAACGTTCTACTAACGGCCTCCTGGATGTTCTCCATGGACCTGTGGAGCAGGAGACCTCAGGAGACTCCTGGTCTGTACAGACATCCTCTCTGCTCTGAGGAATGAGCTCAGTGGTCAGTCTGTAGATCCAGGAGGCGGATCCCTGCAGGCTGCTGAGGGTCCCTGCCCTGAGGGAAGGGAAGGTCGCCTCAGTGGAACATCTGGAACAGCTGCTACCTCAGAGCTGAAGATCAGAAACGGCTGCGTCGGAACAGCAGCGGGTTTTAACACCCAGTTCTTCACAATCAGCCAATTAGGAATCTAATTGGAAATATTAAGGAAGAACTTCCAGCTTCTTCTGGGTCCACCAGACGACATGCTGCTGCGCTGTGTGCAGGGCCGGAACAGGACTTTTCTAATACCCAGGGCAAATAATAAATCTTTAAAATATCCTAAAATGGTGACTTTTTAAAATATATTTTGGAAACGTGAATAAAGAGTTAAATCACAAGCCCATAAGGGAGGTGAATACGAACCTGTTTGTTATGACAGTTCTAAAACTCACCAAATTAGAGAGAGAGTGTGTGGGTGTGTGAGAATGAAGCTAGCAGACACAATATGGACCATTTAAAGACCCGGTCCCTGTCCCCTGTGTCCCCCGTGTCCCAGTGAGAGCGTCAGACGACCACCTTCACAGCCACGCTTCCTTCCACTTTGTCCATCTCTCCCAGCAGGGCAGACAGCAGAGAGGACTTCCCTGAGCCAACGTGTCCCACCACTGCTACCAGCGAGCCTTCTGGGATGGACACATTCAGCCTGGACACACAGAGACAAAAGCTTCACGTCTCTGAGCTTCAAACTGTCCACTGACAGCTAATGGATAAAAACCTCCTGAGCGTCGGGTTCTCCGTCCTGGACCAGCTGAAGACTCCGTCCACAATGGAGATGCTGTGTCCCGCTGGAGACCAAAGGACAACCGGTCAGTAAGACATCAACCGCAACTCAACCAAGCTACAGGTGGTCCGGCCTTAAAGACTAGTTACAGTTAAAGACTGGTTACAGTTAAAGACTAGTTAGAGGCTGGTTACAGTTAAAGACTAGTTAGAGGCTGGTTACAGTTAAAGACTAGTTACAGTTAAAGACTAGTTACAGGCTGGTTACAGTTAAAGACTAGTTACAGTTAAAGACTAGTTACAGGCTGGTTACAGTTAAAGACTAGTTACAGTTAAAGACTAGTTACAGGCTGGTTACAGTTAAAGACTAGTTACAGTTAAAGACTAGTTACAGGCTGGTTACAGTTAAAGACTAGTTACAGGCTGGTTACAGTTAAAGACTAGTTACAGTTAAAGACTAGTTACAGGCTGGTTACAGTTAAAGACTAGTTACAGGCTGGTTACAGTTAAAGACTAGTTACAGTTAAAGACTAGTTACAGGCTGGTTACAGTTAAAGACTAGTTACAGTTAAAGACTAGTTACAGGCTGGTTACAGTTAAAGACTAGTTACAGGCTGGTTACAGTTAAATACTAGTTACAGTTAAAGACTAGTTACAGGCTGGTTACAGTTAAAGACTAGTTACAGTTAAAGACTAGTTACAGGCTGGTTACAGTTAAAGACTAGTTACAGGCTGGTTACAGTTAAAGACTAGTTACAGGCTGGTTACAGTTAAATACTAGTTAAAGGCTGGTTACAGTTAAAGACTAGTTACAGTTAAAGACTAGTTACAGGCTGGTTACAGTTAAAGACTAGTTACAG